CCACATACAAATGCAGCCTTTCTCACTACAGAAAAGCGAAAGAACAACATACAATTAAAAAAAAAGGAAAAAAATGACAGCTAAACCAATCTGCACTGAGCAACCGGAGCATACTTGACAGAAAGAGGAGGAGATGATGGAGTTCTCACTACATCTCAGCACTCGCATTTCACTTTTAGTCGCCTTTTCTTCAAGAACGAATCGGAAACATTTGCTCGCATTTTCTCATCCTCCTCCAATGATTTTCCGAGAAGTATATGAGGGAAAAATATTCCTTTTTTATTTCTTCGTATGCATTATTGATGTACTTGAATGCAAAAGAAAGGTGTTATTGACTTCAGCGTAAACCTATATTGTCGTTCGTCGCTTGAGTTTGGAAATACTGAAATCCTCATCCAGCACTTTTGATTTGTTTTTTTTAATTCACAGCACATCTCTGCCCTCGTTTTTGTCGTCTTTTTCTTTGGGCTGGAAATGTCACCCACGCAGATATATATATAAATCTATTTTTATAAGTCATTGTTTCTGTTTATGTGTCCTATACCCTCATCTTTTCTCTCTTCACGTGGTTCGATATGAGCGGGAAGAAGGTGTTTCTGCTTCGTCGCATCTTTAATCTTTCGTTGGACTCTTTCAGTTGCCGGTTTGGTCGTGAAGGCTTGTCATGTTTCAGATGCATTGTGAATGAAGACGTTTTCCTTTCATGGCTTGATTCAGCAGTGTTATCCTCAGCCGTGTGTGTGTGTGTGTGAGTACATGTATGTATATCCGTGTACACATATGTGTGCTATCTGACTGTGTGTGTGTGTGTGTGTGTGTGTATGTGTGAGTGCATGTATGCATATCCGTGTACACGTGTGCTATCTGAGTGTGTGTGTGCGCGCACATGCAGGTATGTGGGCACCTGTGTGTATGTGTGTGTGTGTGCATATCCGTGTACACATATGTGTGCTATCTGAGTGTGTATGTGTGTGCATTCAGGTATGTGTGTGTGTGTGTGTGTGTGTGAGTGTGTGAGTGTGAGTGAGTGAGTGAGCGAGCGCATGTATGCATATTTGTGTATACGTGTGTGTGTGTGCATATCCGTGTACACATATGTGTGCTATGTGTGTGTGAGTGAGTGAGCGAGCGCATGTAGTGTGTGAGTGTGAGTGAGTGAGTGAGCGAGCGCATGTATGCATATTTGTGTATACGTGTGTGTGTGTGTGTGCATATCCGTGTACACATATGTGTGCTATGTGTGTGTGAGTGAGTGAGCGAGCGCATGTATGCATATCTGTGTATACGTGTGTGTGTGTGTGCATATCCGTGTACACGTGTGCTATCTGAGTGTGTGTGTGCGCATGCAGGTATGTGGGCACCTGTGTGTGTGTGTGTGTGTGTGTGAGTGCATGTATGCATATCTGTCATATCCGTGTACACATATGTGTGCTATGTGTGTGTGAGTGAGTGAGCGAGCGCATGTATGCATATCTGTGTATACGTGTGTGTGTGTGCGCATATCCGTGTACACGTGTGCTATCTGAGTGTGTGTGAGCGCATGCAGGTATGTGGGCACCTGTGTGTTGGTGTTGTTAAAGTGTGTGTGTGTGTGTGTGTGTGTGTGTGTGTGTGTGTGTGTGTGTGTGTGTGTGTGTGTGTGTGTGTGTGTGTGTGTGTGTGTGTGTGTGTGTGTGTGTGTGTGTGTGTGTGTGTGTGTGTGTGTGTGTGTGTGTGTGAGTGTGAGTGTGTGTGTGTGTGTACTGAATCAGTACTCAAACTTGGCATGCCATTTAAACTGGATGCTAAAAGACTTTGGGGAGGATTTTATAAATGTTAATTATGTATCTATGTATGTATGTAATGTATGTAAAACAAATCAATGAAGAAATAAGCGCTGTGTCGTGTGATTCGCTCTCATTCAGATTTGTGTGTTAATTTTTCCTGCTTCCCTCGGGATGGAAGTCTTTCGGATTCAGCGAGTTTTTATCTTTGCATTTTTCTCTTTTAATTAATTTCTCTCTCGTTTCATGATCCTCTGAACCCTTTGTTCTGGTTTTTAACTTTCTCTGCATTCAGCGCCTCTTTCGCTCTGTTTTTAGGCCATCTTTATTTGGAAAAAAATCAGCTGAAACCCTCTTTTAAAGCAGGACACTACAGACTAAACCATTGCTTTTCATGCAGATTGTGATCTGTTTCGAATGTTTCACTTCCAGAACATTCAGAATAGAGGGGGGAAATATACAAATCACACATTTAAGTGTTTATTTTATTGCTCTTTATCTGTTTGTGTCTGTAGATTTCAGTTGTTGTTTTTCTCCACCTCGGCAGCGCTTTCATACATCAGACTTTAGAGTTTTATTCCAGTCTGAATTCTGAAGGTTTTTACTGAGGGGTTTGTTTATATAAGTCACCTGATTCTATACATCATTTCATTCCTAAAAACATGGTGAAAATGTATTTCTGTTTGCATATTGGCAGTATTTTCTGATTTATGGCGTGATAAAACTAACAATAAATAAATAAAATAAAATTAATATATCAACAAAATCAAACCAGAAATTTGAATCTGGCTTTATCCAATATTCAGATTTCTGTTTTGGAAATGTATGCATATTTAAGTAGGTAATGCTTCATTTGTATATTTAAACTCATATATATATATATATATATATACACACAGTGGGTACGGAATGTATTCAGACCCCCTTAAATTTTTCACTCTTTGTTATATTGCAGCCATTTGCTAAAATCATTTGTTATTTTTTTTTCCTCAATGTACACACAGCACCCCATATTGACAGAAAAACACAGAATTGTTGACATTTTTGCAGATTTATTAAAAAAGAAAAACTGAAATATCACATGGTCCTAAGTATTCAGACCCTTTGCTGTGACACTCATATATTTAACTCAGGTGCTGTCCATTTCTTCTGATCATCCTTGAGATGGTTCTACACCTTCATTTGAGTCCAGCTGTGTTTGATTATACTGATTGGACTTGATTAGGAAAGCCACACACCTGTCTATATAAGACCTTACAGCTCACAGTGCATGTCAGAGCAAATGAGAATCATGAGGTCAAAGGAACTGCCTGAAGAGCTCAGAGACAGAATTGTGGCAAGGCACAGATCTGGCCAAGGTTACAAAAAAATTTCTGCTGCACTTAAGGTTCCTAAGAGCACAGTGGCCTCCATAATCCTCAAATGGAAGACGTTTGGGACGACCAGAACCCTTCCTAGAGCTGGCCGTCCGGCCAAACTGAGCTATCGGGGGAGAAGAGCCTTGGTGAGAGAGGTAAAGAAGAACCCAAAGATCACTGTGGCTGAGCTCCAGAGATGCAGTCGGGAGATGGGAGAAAGTTGTAGAAAGTCAACCATCACTGCAGCCCTCCACCAGTCGGGGCTTTATGGCAGAGTGAAAAATTTAAGGGGGTCTGAATACTTTCCGTACCCAGTGTGTGTGTGTGTATGTAACTTGTATTATAAAACTATTTATTTTAATGTACTGTAATTAATCAGTTGGGGAAAATATGGTGATATTTTAGTTAATTTTCATTCACCTGTAGTGTCCTGCCTTAAACAGAACATCAGAAGGTTCCAGAAGACAAAATATTAATTTTTCTCTAATGAAAAGTTGATTATGAGCATTTCAAGATGCATACAACTCTGATGTTGTTAAATGAAAACCACAAAATCATGTTCAGTAGCTGAATTTCTATTAAAATACTATATTACCACAGTGCTGGGGAGATGTATTCTGACTAATTTTGGATTACTTCTAGATTACTTGCGAGCTAAATTCTTACATTAGAAATGTTTTTTATTTTTACGTGATGTGACCATTAACCGACATCAGAGAAATGTGAACAAGCAAATGTGTCGTTAAATGATTGAAATATTAACTTTAAATCTCAGGGGGACTTCAAGTAAATATTTAAGGTCAAAGGGTTTGACTGACAAAAAAAAGATTGGGAAGCCCTGCATCATAATATCAAGTAATATGCAATCATGCAATCCATAAAGTAATCTGATTATGAGCATTTTAAAATGCAATATTAAAATGCTGATTACGTAGTCCAGATTACATGTAATCAGTTACTCCCCAGCACTGTGTGTGTGTGTGTGTGTGTATATATACATATATACTTTATAGAAGTGTATATTACTCTAATACTCAAGTGATCTTCACACACACCCAATTTAATTGATTTCTTTCCCAAATTACAGTGACTGCTTTAAAAATATGAGACGCCAATGTTTCAGGAGTTGAACAGGACACATGCTTATTCGATAACTGTTTTATTTCCTATTTGGGTTTATGTATATGTTTTATTTTTTAAGATTAACTGATTTTTTCCCCAAGGCATTGTTAGATGCCTGTCATAGCTATGCAGAGATTTGTTTCAAAAACAGTATCGCAGCTATTAAACTACATCTTATGATTTGAAATCTGCATTTAACACCACAACGATCTCAAAGTCTGATTTTGTGGTGGCTGTGCTTTAACATGAAATCTTTATCATCTTAATTCAAGTGATGAAGGGTTTTTGACCGTGTTCAGTGTTGAGCACTACTGTAATGTTAACCCTGCCTGCTTTAAATGCTTGAGAATATAACCGCTGAAAACATTCATTAGAAAAGTACTCCGTTACACTACTTTAATAAAGTAATTTAAATAGTTACACTACTTGTTACATTTTAAACAGGGTAACTTGTAATCTGTAACCTATTCTTACATTTCCAAAGTACACTCTAAAAAATGCTGGGTTGTTTCAACCCAACTTTGGGTCAAATATAGACTAACCCAACCATTGGGTTAAATTTTTAAATTACATTTTTAACCCACAAGTTGGGTTAGTCCATATCTGACCCAAAGTTGGGTTGAAACAACCCAGCATTTTTTAGAGTGTAACTTCCCAACACTCTCTTTACATTAACTTTATTGGCTTTTATTTTCTAGAAAAAGAATGGGGGCGCTACTTTCGGAATCAAGAGGCTTTGAAAGTGTGTTGTGCTCTATTGAAAACAGCATTAACTTAATTTTATTAAAACTGAAGTGAAGTCACGTTTCCATAGGAATGCTTGAGGAATGAAGTGTGCAGTAGAGTTTCATGCTTTCTATTCCTCAGCGCGCGGATCTGGCGTTATTATCATATGCTTGTTTGTGTCGGTGAACATATGATCCTGAACGGCCCGGTCTGAACCGGGTGATGGAGCGCACCGTTGTCATGGTGATGGCCGGGCGGCTCGGAGAAGCAGTAGATGCAGGTTTCTGTGGCCTTCGGCGGGTCCTGAGTTACAGTCACACTGCCCTCTTCAGACACTTCATCCACCCGAGCCATCAGAGAATCTGAAATAAACAAACAAGCACAAATATAACAAATGACATCTAGACAAAAGGTTTAAAGGTCATTCTAAGTGGTGTGGCGTAGAGAACAAGGCTGCTGTTCATAAATATTTTTATTAAAAAAAAAATATTAATAATGATTACACACATACATACATACATGTATATACTAATAAAATTGCAAAATTACATTTAAGCCAGAGTAAAGTTTTGAACATCAATCTAAGTTACACCAAAATCATATTCAATATTTTGAAAAAGTATTACGTAGAACTATTATAAGTAATATATATATAATATAATGTTATGGCACAAATGAAGAAATGTAATAATGACATTGAATTATAATTCTATATATATCTATAAATATATAATTATATATATATATATATTATATATATATCTAGGCCTATTATTATTATATTTCTTCATTTTGTCAAAAGCAAAAATGATTTATTAGCACTGCTATAATATAAAATGGTGATTGATAGATGTCTGATCACAGACAGACAGACAGACATAGATAGATAGATAGATAGACAGACAGACAGACAGACAGACAGATATAGATAGATAGATAGACAGACAGACAGACAGACATAGATAGATAGATAGATAGACAGACAGACTGACAGACAGACAGACAGACATAGATAGATAGACAGAAAGACAGACCGATAGACAGACAGACAGACAGATAGATAGATAGACAGACAGACAGACAGACAGACAGATAGATAGATAGATAGATAGACAGACTGACAGACAGACAGACAGACATAGATAGATAGACAGACAGACAGACAGATAGACAGACCGACAGACAGACAGACAGACCGATAGACAGACAGACAGACCGACAGACAGACAGATAGACAGACCGACAGACAGACAGACAGACCGATAGACAGACAGACAGACAGATAGATAGATAGATAGATAGACAGACAGACAGACCGATAGACAGACCGACAGACAGACAGACAGACCGATAGACAGACAGACAGACCGACAGACAGACCGATAGACAGACCGACAGACAGACAGACAGACAGACAGACAGACAGACAGAAAGATAGATAGATAGACGGATAGACGGATGGATGGATGGATAGATAGATAGATAGATAGACAGACAGACAGATAGATCGATAGATCGATAGACCGATAGATAGATAGATAGATAGATAGATAGATAGATAGATAGATAGA